GGCCACCAGGGGCGGGGGGCGGAGCGGCAGCTCTAGCAAGTCTTTTGCCTGCCTGTAGCCGCCTTGCCAGAGTCATTTTGAAAAATAAAGATGCAGCGTATGCCCCAGAGGCTGTGCCTTTAATGCTGGAGACCAAACAAGCTGGGGTGCAGATGTGTGTGATTAACTGGGGTTTAATTCCCTCCTGCCCTTGGCCCTTCCACGTGGCTCTTCACCCCCATTTCCTCAGTGCCGTCTCTCCACTTGTGGACACGGAGTCTCGCCAGGTCGAGTCATTTTGAAAAATAAAGATGCAGCGTATGCCCCAGAGGCTGTGCCTTTAATGCTGGAGACCAAACAAGCTGGGGTGCAGATGTGTGTGATTAACTGGGGTTTAATTCCCTCCTGCCCTTGGCCCTTCCACGTGGCTCTTCACCCCCATTTCCTCAGTGCCGTCTCTCCACTTGTGGACACGGAGTCTCGCCAGGTCCCTGGGCATGGTGGGGGGGCTGCACCGCTCTCCCAGAAGGGGCGGGGCCTCAGGCGGAAGGAGGAGCCTGATGCTGCAGCAGCAATTTAAAGGGCCCAGGGCTCCGGTCGCCACTCCCGAATTTCCAGGCCCTGGGGCAGCTGCCCTCCAATCGGCAGGGTGTCCTGGAATGAGGCCGCAAGCTCCCCAGTGTCACCGCTGGCAGACAGTCCCAACACTGACTCCTCTGGACTGGAGGCAGCAGGGTCTCAAAATGCAGCCTCGGGCCTGGCTCCTGCTGTAGCACAGAGCTACCCGAGCAGAGAAATTCTGCCACACGTGGATCATGGCCCCTTTATCCCACACTGGAGCCGCGCCACCCTGGGACAAACCAAGTGATCACTGCTGATGGTGCTGGAGCAAAATGAAAGCCGCTCCAGGGAGCTAGCCAAGGGCCAGGGCCTAGCGGGCTCGGGTGGGTCTAGTAGGGGAGGGAAGCCACAGTGCTGCCCTACACGGGTATTGCCAGGGAGGAGATGGGAGGAAGGCCTAGCCTGGGCTTGTGGGAGTAGCTTCAGAGCAGCAGAGTGTGGGGTCAGCAAAGAGACAGCAGCCTAAATTGGGGTGGGCAGTAGGGATGTGAACTGTACCGGGGGTGCCTAGTGGGTAACGGTGAACCAGTGCCCAGGAGCAGGAGGCCAGGAGCCGGCAGCCCCATGTGGGGAGGCTGGGAGCAGGAGCCACTTTTCAAAAAATGTGATGACTCAAAACATTAAAAACCCCACAGTTATAGATTGGACAAAACAAGGTATTTTGATTGTGAGTGTTTCCGTGGTTTAAAATGATTTTTACATGAATGGCCGTTTTGTAATGAAAAGCTGTTTTAAATTTTTTAAAAAGCAAAGAGCTTCATTTCTTTCAGATTTTTTTTCAAAGTCCCTGTCAGGGGGCCGGGGGCTACCCCACCTGGGGTCCATCAGTTCACTCCTGCCCAGAGCCCCACCGGGCCAAGCACCCTCTTTGTGCTCCCCGTCACCAGCATCGTCAACAGTCTGATGACCCATCCATCGTTAGGAAATCCTCTGCCTCCCATCTGGCCTTTGGCTAGTCAGCAGAGGAAGGTAGGGGGGCCCGGGCCTGCCCTCACTCCAACCCCCGACCCAGGGCCCTAAGGACTGGGACTAGTTGGTGGGGGCTCCAACCTGTAACTCACCAACCCCCCGGGTTGCATACCCTGCCCTGGGTCGCTTCCTACCTCCCTTGCTCTCGCGCTGTGGCTCAGGGTTCCCCTCTGTTCTCCTCCTGGTGACCTCTTCTCCCGTTGTGGTGCCTCTTTTAAATGTCCCGCTGCCGGCGCGTCCGACGTAAAGGGGAGGGGGGACTGCGCTGGCGTCCTTGGCCACTCCCCCTCTCCTGTTCCTTGATGGCTCTTGCCCGAGCCAGCATTGCCAGCAATCCCGGGCAAGCACGGTTCTTCTTCCCCCGGGTCCCGCAGGGCTCTGGCGTGGAGCACCAGGCTGCCTCCGCCGGTCCCCCCGCTGCGGCGGAGCAGGCGGAGCACCGCCGGGGATGGCGCAGCAGCAGTGCGGGGCAGCTGAGTGTCCCCATCGCAGTCCTGCTCCACACTGAAACAATTTGGTACAGTCCATAGGAATTTGCAAACTATTTTGGTCTTGCTAAACTGTGGGGGGTTGGCCAAAAACGTGTTTTGGTGGGAAAATATCCATCCCTGAGCATAGATACTTCCACTTCTGTAGGCCACAGAACTGCCAAGCAGAAATGTCTGTCTCTCTAGAAGAGGGGAAGCCTCCCATTTCTAGTTAAAAATAGGAACGGTCTAGGAAGCCATATTACAGAAGCATCTAGAAAATTCAGGACCCCACAGATTCTGTACATATACAGAGCAAAAGACAGTTACTGCCGTCGAAAGCTGCCTACATAGACAAGCCAAAGAGTGGGAAGGGGCCTTTCGGTATCATCAAGACCAGGTTGATACGCAGATATGAAATAGCTAATGATTATTCTTTCCTTCTGAGCAGCAGATACGCCAGCCAGCTCTACACTGGCACTTTACAGCGTGGGAATTTTCTGGCTCAGGGGTATGAAAAAACACCCACCCACCCTTGAGCACAGCAAGTTACAGCTCTGTAAAGCACCAGTGTGAACCAGAGCTGGCCCATGGCCCCGTGAACTACTCCCCTCATGGAGGCGGCTTACATGGGGGCTGGGAAAACGCTCTCCCAGCGCTCCTGCCATGGCCACACTCACTTTAAAATGCTGCTGCAGCTAAGTGTAGCCAGAGCCTGCATTTAAACGTGGGGCAAATGAGAAGAGGCGCTCGAGGATTTTCCCTTAGCCTGAGCCTGCGGCTTTCAGTCTTACGTGTAACAACATTAGAACATCTTGTACTTGCACTTGCACCTCTAGATTAGTCTCCCACAACTCTGCAAAGCTGGGCAGGCGGGACTGTCCCTCTTTGCCTGGAGGGGAAACTCAAGCACAGAGAGTCTGAGTGGCTTGCCCAGATCCCCATGCAAGTGAGTGACGAGTCCAGAATAGAACCAGCCCCTGATCTAGGTGGTGGGCAGGGTGTGCCTGAAAAGCACGGAAGGTTTTAACGGGAGGGAGGAAGGTTCAGAATCAGGAGAGATTCCACCCCCAAGACTTCCATCCCTTTGCCTCATCTCCTGCTTCATCACCCCGGGGTGACCTGGGAGGACAGAGCAGAGGGAGAGGGTGTCTGGGAGCCACCACATAAAAGACAAGCTGTTACATCACCCTGTCCACGGAGTGGTCTGTCAGGATTCCTCCTCAGAGCCTTTGGTATTCTAGTTACATGCTATTACACAGTAATCGTGCAGTCTGGGCTCTGTGGTGTAAGGATCAGCTGGAAAAATGCCTCCGCGGGCCAGCCTCAGAACCCAGGTCTTCTATCCCAGGGAGCTGTGCCCCCCCCTCCTCCCGCGAGACCATCACAGAGTCAGTGCCACCAAATTGCAAAGCAGAGGTCTCAGTCTTTTCCTTTCTGAACTCTCT